GAATTAACAGTGGATGCTTTGTACAAAATACAAGCATTAACAATAGACGCTTCCAATCCCTGGAAAAAGAGTTTTCTCTTATCTTAAACGTTGTGTCGAGTGACGCTCGACATAGGGCTTGCTGGAACGAAATGCTGTGTCGAGTGACGCTCGACATAGGACCACAGAGGGCTAAAGGTCCCAAAGGAATTTTCAATTTCCAGGCGATGCCAAAACTGGTCTTTTTTAACATTCTCCTTTGAGGAGGTATTTTTGTAATCTGGCTTATAGAAATCCACTTTTTGGGTATTTTTGCTAAGGAAACCATGATACATATTGGCATACAATTTCGCATTCAGATGTTTGGGAAACGATACCAAGCTGAGAGTTACGCACCAAAATTGAAATATTAATTATAAGCTAGTTATTAGAATTATTATTATGGACGTTAATAAACTCTGGATGCTCTCAACTGAATTTTAAGACAAGAATGAACCTCCTAATGTTCTTCATTTTTGCGTAATACTTCATTTTAGCTGAAAATCGCGTCTTTTTAGAAAAACTCGCATTTTTCGAAAACTATGGGTGATGGAGTAATTTCGATTATGGATTCGTGATTTGGAAATTATGTTCTACGAGAATCACCTATTGCATATTACAGATTGGAGGAAAAATTAAAATTTGTTGAACAGGTGTTGTCGATGAAAGGAATTAACTCGTTGCTAATTGGAAAATGGTATTCGTTGAATAGCTTATTCCACGGATCAGTGGTTTAGTGGCTACTGGAGCTAATGAAATTTAATTATTGTAGTTTTGTAAGAATTTGCGTGAGGAAATATTATTTATTAGATTGGTGAGATATAAATATGTAAGTAATTGGTATATATCTGTTTATAGACGTTTTAAAATTATGTATTATGTAGTTAAATTGCTAATTATTTTTAATCGTTTTTACGTCTTCGTAGATTATACTTTAAAGGTAGTGTTCTATGTCATGCTATATCGCATTATAGTATTTATTATATATTACATTATATTATGTATTATATATATTATATACAATATAGTATATATTACATTATAATATTACATAAATAGTATATTGATATAGTATATTACACTGTATTATATATTATACTATGTACTATATAATTGGTACAATATAGTATTATATACTGTATTATTATCTATATTACATTATAGTATTTATTATATATTACATTATATTATGTATTATATATATTATATACAATATAGTATATATTACATTATAATATTACATAAATAGTATATTGATACAGTATATTACACTGTATTATATATTATACTATGTACTATATAATTGGTATAATGTAGTATTATATACTATGTTTATACATTTTTAAATAAATTAGAGAAATGATATCAAATTTCTTTCTCGCTTAGACAACTTTCTAGAACAGAACATTTTTTTTTTATAAAAATCTTAATAATCTAAAAGTTCAAAAATTAAATTAATGCAAGTATGGCTGGAATAAAACTAAATTAATTTTGGGATCGCATTGAGTG